GGCCCAGCTCCCTCAGCCTCTCCTCATAGGGCAGATGTTCCAGGCCCCTGATCATCCTTGTGGCCCTGTGCTGGACTCTCTCCAGCAGCTCCACATCCCTCTTGTCCTGTGGAGCCCAGAACTGGACACAATACTGCAGATGTGGCCTCACCAGGGCTGAGTAGAGGGGCAGGATCACCTCCCTCGATCTGCTGGACACGCTGCTCTTAATGCACCCCAGGATCCCATTGGCCTTCTTGGCCACAAGAGCACACTGCTGCCTCATGGTCAACTTATCAACCTGCAGGCGCTGGGTCTCTTCAACACGGGCCTCCTCCTCAGCTCTGAGCTGGGGAAGGATCCTGCTGCAAAGTGCTGTAGAGGCAAAACGCCCCTTCCAGGAAAGACCTGTTCTAATCGTATCTTCCCTGTGGATTAGCAGGAGGCTGCCCTTCCTGACTGCTGCCTCCTGTTTGTTTCCAGGACACGTTTGTACGAGCCAAGAACTGGGTGAAAGAGTTGCAGAGACAGGCCAGCCCCAATATTGTAATTGCACTAGCAGGCAACAAGGCAGATCTTGCTACCAAGAGAGCTGTGGACTTTCAGGTAGGCCGAGATGTGGATCAGTTCTTGCCTGAATAAGCTGGGGAAGTGGATTTCTCTTCACTGAAGCAGGAGAGATGGTGGCTGTGTTAGAAATGCTTTGAGGGAGCATGCAGGGGGTCAAGGTTCATGAGGACCCCAGAAGGAGACTTGGAGGGAACCGTAGCCTCCCTCTCCTTTTGCAGCTTCTCGCTGACTTCACAACAATTCTTTACATGATGGATGTGGAGGAAAAGGCCCTTAGAGCACAAGCTTCATTTCCCCCCTCTGCTGCTGTCTTGCTCATACAGGGTTCCTTGAGTAACGTGTGACATGGCACCCTTTAGATACCAGATGCCTGAAGACTTCCAGCTTGATCTCTAGTTTTTACAGCTCTCGCCTTAAGTTGCTCAAGGCAGATGTTTAAGGAGACTCTCTTATCTCGGGCCTCTGCACGGAGCTGTTGGAATTCGGCACGTTACACTCCGAGCTAACCAAAGTACAAGGTGTTACGCTTGGGAAATAGCCTGGCTCCACTTCTGGGTCAAGTGGCTTGCACAGGCAGCGCTGTCCTTCCCCACCTTGCAGGCTGGTGGCCCAACCTCGTGTCCGGTGACACTTTAGCTTCCAGCTGCGATGGCTGTGGGGAGTTCAAGGAATTGGGGTGGGAATGTGGCCTGCGCTGGGGCACAGGGTTTCCTTGCTGCTTCGTCTGCCAAGGAACGAGGTGTGCGGAGCCCTCCCGTTGGCAGGGTGTCCTTACTGCTCTCCTTCCTTCTAGGATGCACAAACATATGCAGATGACAACAGCTTGCTGTTCATGGAGACATCAGCAAAGACAGCAATGAATGTGAACGAAATCTTCATGGCAATAGGTAATATGTGAGGAAGAATGGCTGGAGTAGCTTGGAGCACCAGCAGTGCATCCCACTGGAAACCATGGGGATTCCTGTGTCAGCCAGGCTTTAGGGGCTCTCCTGCAAGCAGGTGACCAAATTGTTGTGAGCAGTCAGTGACTGACTGCCTGGAGCCTTTTCCCTGTGAGCCTATTCCCTGTCTTCCTTTATCTGGGATGAGTAAGGAGCAGAATTTGTGACGGCCAAAGCTGGAGTGTGTTTCCTTACTGTTGCTGGGCTGCTTAGCAGCCCCTGATCCCAAAACCCTTAAGAGATGAGAGCTCGGACCAAAGCAGGGCTGAGCCCAGCTTGCTCTGGCAGCAGGAGGGGACAGGCTGGCCTTTCCAGAGGAGCCTACTAACGTGTTGTTTCTTTCTAGCCAAGAAACTGCCAAAAAATGAACCCCAGAATGCTCCTGGTGGCCCAGGTAGGAATCGGGTGGTTGACCTTCAAGAAAGCAGTCAGCCCAGTAGGAGCCAGTGCTGCAGCAATTGAGCAACCGTTCCCAGCTGGCCGAAGCCCTTTGGAATGACGTGACTGGAATCCACTCTAACCAATCGCACTTACAGTAGAGCAGCTGCTGCCGGTGGCTGCTGTGATTTCTCCATCCCTTTCTGATCATAGGCTGGAGGGAGCTCTTCCACCTGCACCTTTCTGTACAAATACTAATTCAATTCTAAGTCTTAAGTCACTTTTTTAATATATGAACTTCTGCTCTTCCCTCTTCCTGGTGGTGGTGGATGCATGAGCTGGGCGGCAGCACCCGCTCCCACAGTACTGTAGTTCACTATTGGAAACAAAGGGAGATTGAGACTAGACAGAACCTTGTTTCAAATTATCCACATGTAAAGCTAAGGCTCATACCAGTACAATATGCCTAGGAAAACCACTAAACTGTAGCATTATAGTGACAAACTTTGGCTTTTAGCCACTTATTGACCAAATCGATTATGAGTATTTTGGGGTGGGGCAGAGGGAAGCAAAACTGGTTTCTTCTGTATTTTGTATTGTATGTTTCTTCATGTAACCGATCAGTATCTTGTCAATATAGTACATACAACTAGCTGCCTATTGTCTTTCTTTGTGTTGGACTCTAGCATGCCAACGTTTTCTATCTCCAGTTCTGTCGTAATGCACTAATCCTGTTGCAACTTTTGCAAAGATCTTGTATAGAGAATTGTCCTTTTTTTTTTTTTTTTTTTGATGGTTGTGATGCCACTAATGTTGTTAACCCAACTCTGGTGCAAATACACATGGTTTACTGATGTACAGAGGTGGGGTGGGGAACCTTGAGTAACTTGTCTGTGGAAACTATGTGTTACAAAAGCCTGTAATTCCACAAGGTATCAAGGGAGGTATTAAAAAGGTTTCTGTTGCCAGACTCTAACTGATGTTGGCTGCTGCCTAGTGCCTAATGCAGTGTCTTATGCGTACTGGTATTTAAGAGGAACTGTCAGCCTAGTCTTCATCACAAACTTCAGTTTTGTGTGATTACAAAAAAAAATTTTATAAATCTACCGTGATCAACAATGTTCCTGTTTCTTACAGAGCTGAAGGCAGCAGGGCAGGATCAGACCCAAACACGCTGGAGGACGATAGGGGCTAGTTGTCTTGGGCCGTGCACCGTACCCGGCTCTCCCGGAGCTTTCCCTGGAGCCACCGGCATCCCTTCCCTAGGCAGGGAGCACCGCGGCCCTGCGGCTTTTCCGCTCGGCATCCACAGTGCCCGGGCTCTGCCTCCTGCTTCCAGGGAAGAGGAGCGTTTGCCACGGCTGGAGCGGAGCCGGGAGCGGCGCTCGGCCCAACGTGGAGAGGTGGGAAGGGTCCTAGTCTAGGAGCTCTTAGGGGAGCATCACCAGCCCCACTGGGGAAGAGGCAGAGGAAGGAGGGCAGTAGGCAGAGGGACAATAATGTGCTCTAATGTTAATGTCCCTGGAGAAGGATGACCTCGAAAGGCATTTCTGTCCTGTCGCTGCTGCATGAACTTCAAGATCTCTAGACCCGTGGAACGTGAAGCAACCACTTACAGCTCTACCGCTACCCGACCCACCGCCCGCCCAGCGGAGCCGCTGCCCCCGGTGCTTGGAGAGACGTGAGGACACCCTGGACCTGCTGTTGTCCCCCTGCTCGTGCGGCGGGAGCTCTGCCAGGACCTGGCTGCAGTCAGCGGCGCGACCACCTCCGCCTTGGACTCGCCCTTGGTTTGCGGGATGGGGGCTGTGAAAGCTCTGCTGGGTAGCTGCAAATAAAACCTTGGTGAAACGCCCTGACTCGTGAGCTTCATCCTGCGGCAGAGGCGCCTTTTGCCTCGTGTCCTTCCTTAAATCCCTTTCCTTGGGGGCTGACAGGGGCCTGGAGGAGCCTTGGGAGAGGGATGGGGCTGCCTGCAAAGGGCTTTGCCTGCCCTGGGCCTGTCCCTGCAGGAGGAGCCGCCTGGGAGCGGGAGCGCTCCGGGAAGGGCTGCCTGGGAGCTCAAGGAAAAA